GAAAATAGCGAAAATATACCACAAAAGGTAGAAAAAGGACGAAGTGATATAAATATCAAATCAAAAAACCAGTGTTCCACTTAAATAATCCGATTCATTGCCTACTTCTCCTGACAAACTCAACAAATCCCTTGAACAAACTTCATTTGAATAAGATAAGCAATGAAAAATTTCATTTCTTCATCCTGATTCAAAACTCCAAAATTTGAAGTATTAAAAAGCATAACTTAGTAATAATAAAATAACTTTACAAATAAAGAGAAAAAAAGCAATGTAAGTAATCACAACAGAAATAATATTTCTGTGACATCTCAAAAATATTTATTACCGATATCTTCACTTATTTTCCAAAAACCTGCTAATCCTGTTAAACAAATAAAAACGAAAATAAAATCTACGAGATGGAAAAAAGAAGAAAGAAATCAAAAAGAGGAAACTTAATGTAAGAAAAATAGTTGGTAACTGAGAATTAAAAAATAACTCTTTATAATATAACACTTCTATTGTTTTCTAGTTCCTTAATAACTACTAACTTTGTTTCATGAAAACAAAAAGTATGATATATAATGTTATATTACCTTCTCAATTTCCAGTTGTAATCGTGAAATTTCCTTAAGATGTGCTTTTTCCATCATAATGGCTTTTTGTTCGATCGTTTCAAAGTGAGAATACTGCAAAGAATTCTTTAGAAACATGAAAAAATAAAACTGACTCAACATCTAAAATCAAAAAATTGCTATTATATGTGCAAAACAGACACAACAAAAGATGAAACAGCCAATTAAACCAAAAAATTCAAACTCAGCATGGTGAGACCTATTTATTTATCAAAGTTAGAAAACAATTTTTTCAAGAATATAATTTTTTTACTCAACAAAGTTACAGTTATCGTTTACTTTGTACATATAATTTACATTTCGTTTCATCATTTAATTTATGATATTTTCGTAACGTCACTTACGACAGTAGCAAATGTTGAACGATATTTCCGAACTTTGTTCTCCAATTGTGTAATTCTTGACAATAGCTTCGTTTCTTTTTCTTTATTCTAAAACTTTTAAAATGTGTTTTATGAACAAAATAAAAATCAATCTGAAATCTCGAGACACGTTTCATTGTCAGGATTAACTCAATAATGAACACTGATGGTTCATTCCTTACTTCAGATACTGTCGAATCCATCGATATTTTGATATGTACTACATGATATGACAGAAGTGAAAAATCACCTCCTTAGGAATTATGGTTAAAACGTTGAAATCAAAATACATAGCAAGTATATTTTCAACCTTCCAACTATCACTGATAGATTTTTTAGCTTCAAAATCCCCCTTTTCAAGTACAATATTTTCAGCATCCTTTAACCATCTGCAGAAATTATCCAAATTGCAAGCACTTGGCATATACAACAGACTTCGAACCGATGGTGCCACAGCACACATTGTTTCAAATGTTTTATTTTGACACTTTTGAACATCTTTCTCATAACTGCTCTGAAAACTTATCATTTGCAGTCATATATATTTTCAAAATTTTACACAATAAAACTCTTGGGCCGAGTAAACTGCAATAGTTATATATCATTCTACCTTCATTTCTCGCATACGTCTTTTGTAAGCAGATTCTTGTTGTCGTGAAATTTGAAGAATATTGTAGTTTTTTTCACGCAATTCCTGAAAAAAAAAAGATTACGAAGAACTGATACAATAAAGCTGTACAAAAGAAGACTGAAAGAGCTAAATTGGTAAAGAATGGCTCTCAAAATTTTAAACTTCTTTTCCATAATATGTAACACCGATAAAAATATTGAATGCACAATAAATCTTTGAAAAGTAATGAGTACTAAATTACTAAAAAGATAATGGGAGCAATAACTGAAATATTTTAAACCAAATCGTAAATGATTACTAATCTGTCCACTGAAACTCTTATCAATAGCATATTAAAAAAATAAAAGTTAATGAGTACGTACTTCATTTAGTAATTTCAATTTGTCGATTTCTTTTTGAATATTATCACTTTCTAATGAAGAGTGTGATCCCGAAACATATTTACGCCTTATTTTCTGAAACCAAAAAAAGATCGCTGATAATATCTGTTTAACTTTTTGTTCTGTGATTTTATTTATATATTTTTTACTTCCTAGCAAATGTTCAGATGAGAGAATTTGATTTCACAATTTTCATTTCAATCAGGAAACTGAATAATACCAAACAAGTTGACAGAAGTTGGGATTGTATACCTTTTCATTCGGTACATCATCACTGGAACAAGTCATCGTTGTCTGCCTACAAAATTAATAATGTTAATTATGAAACAAATATTAAAACCAATAAAATTATTAACGAATAAATGTAAAATGTATATTCTTCCAACTCAACAATCGAAAAATGTGGCGGATAAAGATTAAGATAAATTACCAAAGCTGAAGCACTTTATAAAAATGATGAGATTTTTAATATAAGGTCAACCTCTACAAATTTGGATGCCGGAATCCACATCTTTCCCATATGCACTAGATGCATATACACAAACAACAGACAAAATTCATGAAATTTAAAAAATTTGCCTCCCCAATCTTTCCTCTTCATCTTTCTTGTACCTCGCAAGTTCTACTTCCAAAGCGGTAATGCGATTCAGGTTTTCATGGTACTGATTCTTGAATTCAGTTACTTCTTTACGACAGTTCAAAACATGAGCTACTTCTATAGATATTCTAAAAAACAACAAGGGTTAATAACAGAAAAAATCTGCTGATTTTATCACTCAAGTACTATACCCCAGAAACACTTTGCAATCTCTCTCCAAAATTTTTATTACCTCTTTAAAAAATAGCGCTACCATAATCGTTTTATTTAAGATCAGGTCTACAAACGTAAAAAACATGCTCTTTTTAACACAAAAATTCGGAACAAACTTTCAGTAAAATTTTCAAATCACTAAGATGGAAACAAGACATTACGTACTGAAATAACAATTCTTGAATACGTTTTTCTTTCTCTTCCTTAACACGCTTAATTTCCTCGTTAAGATTTACCACATCCTAAAACAGAAACAAAATTTGATTTGATAAATAAGATTAACCTAAAATCTTTACCTGCATTAAAAAATACTACAAGCACCACCATAAATAAATCGAAGGTAAAACTTCTGTACCCAGAATGCCTAACATTTTTATAAATTCAATTATGCACATGCCATTTTCTTCATAATTATAGCAACCAAAATGTTCAGCCTCAGATTAAATAATTACTTCATTTCATTAAGCAAAAAAAACAAAAAACAAAAACAAAAACCTTTTCATGGTCTTTTACGATATCAACAAGTTGTCGTTGATAGTTCTCAACTTGTTTTTCCAATTCATTACATTTTAAATCACTGACTGCATTAGCTTCTTGCAGAGTTTGCAACTGATTACCTAACTGTAACAAATCACCACAAATAAGCATACTTATCGCTTCAGTGAAATTTAATAAATTCTTCGAGTATCGAGATATCAAGAATTAACATTAAAATGATGCGCCCATTTTAATGATATTTTCAGAATCAAAATTCAAAACCATTCAAAATCTTTCAGTTATTGAATCATTTTATATTTTGTCACTGAGTGAATTTTTTGACACTGATTTTTTTGCATTCACTGAAAAAATAAGCTTGCAACTTTAGAGTAGTTAATCGCCAGTACATAAAGAGAAAGGATTTAAATATAAACATTTCAACCAAACTAAGAAGCAATAATTTAAAAAATTTTATAAGGTTCAAAAAACTTTTACTTCTTTATTAAAATTTTCCATCTCAGACAATCTTTTCCTACATGCAGCAATATCGTTTAAATGACTTTCACGTTCATGGTTTGCATCCAGTAGTTGCTTATTCAATACTTGGATTTGTTCAAAATACTGCAACATAATATGAAAAGACAAACACCATTAAGCCTGCTAATGAAAATTATGAATCTGGTTAAATACGACAATTACTAGATAAAGGTACTAAGACAGACGTTTTCACGTTCTTGTATTGCCAGTTCAGCACTTTCTTTGTGCTGCATCATCTCACTTCGGATTTCAGATGTAACCGCACTCAGTTCTTCAGCTACTTGCATTGCATTCTGCACTTTTCTTTCGAACGCATCACGTTCTACTTTCTAGAAAATACAGCTAGATAAATTTGAATGATATATGTTTAAAAAGTTTTCAAACAAATAAAAGTTGAAGACAAGAAATGAAGGTACTTTTTTTTAAAATATTTTTTTAAAATTTGAACAAGATAGATCCTTTACATCTTTACTACAATAAAAGATGACTTGATTGTTTTTCAAAGATTTCTATACGTTGCGAATCAGCTGTTTTGAAAAAATAAGACAAAATTGCCCATACCACATTTGCCTCGACGTCTTGCAGCCGCTGCTCCAGTAAAGCATTGGCATTTCTTAAGTGTTCGATTTGTCGATCTTGATTCTTTGAAAAGAAGAATATTCATAACTACATATAAAATTAAGCAGTAAAATACCCTTTAAATTGATGAATTGATATAGTCAATAAAAGCTGCATTTAGGAACGAAAAAAATCTGCGTAATGTTTCGAATAAAGATGACTCTAAATAGTAACAATATAAATCACATTTGAAAGCTCATTCAGGTAATTAATAAACGAACTAAAGAGTAAGTTTCATCTGTGCTGACTCAAAAAAGTTAAGAGATGGTGCTGCAAATATATTACTAAGTTTCAAATTTTTGTTGATGAATCGAAAATTTCTCGAAATGATTAAATGGAAAGCTTCACTGTTTAAACAACAACTCGCCTTCATTCTAAGAAAAACCAAAACGCTGCAATTTTCATCCTTTTTCGTTAATCACATACTTGACAATCTTGACTAAATGACAACAGTTATGGTAAAAATCCGAACCTGTGATTCATTTCTCATTTGTTGCATGGCCTGCAGTCCTTGATTTAATTCCACTTCAAGTTGTGAGCATCGATTTTTGCTCGATGTTAACTCCTGAATAAAAAATATTTTTGAATTCATAATACTTCTTATATCAGCTCTAGCGATTCCCTCCGAAGCGAAATGCTCAAACTTTTATAAAACATACCAAAAACAACAAATTAATGATTTTGAAATTATCGTTTTTGATGATGCTAATTTATTTGCTGATTTGAGCATTGCGTTTAGAAGGAATTCACAAAATAACATGTAACATGCAGTTTAACTGACAACTAAGAGATCAAAAGCCAATAAAAATATACAGTTTTCAAAAGATCTATTTGCTGCTTATATGGTTTGATATCAACAGGTGGTGGTGTCGAGCGAATTAGAGACTGCGCTTTTTGCAATTCATCTTTTATTACACTGAGTTCAGCTTGAAGCTAGAAAAATGACAACACAGTTAAAAATTCATTAACAATTAAGAAATTAAAAAAACAGAATTACGATTTTAACTTACTATTATATCCAAAAGAAAATTACAGCTTAATTTTCAGAATTTAAAGGATAAAACTTTTTTATAATCTGCCGTATTTTCTGCATGATAATAGACAAATAATACCTGATCACAATTTCGCTGTAAGTATGATCTTTTTTCAGCATCACTATTCATTTGAGTACGAACAGTTTGTTCAAAGATTTTATACTTTTTTTTTTCTTCAGCTAATGAATTCCTGAAAAATATTAACACAACTAAATAGCTCGCAGATTTAATAAATGATGGAATTTAGAAGAGCTCTGAAACTCAAATACTCTTCAAGTACTCTTTTCTGAATAACTGAGATCTCATTGTTAGTTGAAAATGAAATCTAAAATAAACAATATATACCGACACTTCAAGACTTTTAGCTTTGAGAAAGAAAGAGTATGAATTCACAAAATAAATGAATTTACCGAAGCAAAGCGATTTCAGAACTTTTTTGTTCAGCAGCAGTAAGTTTATCAGTGCATTGTAAAATAAGTCTGTCTTTATCATTGATTTGTTTGCGCAACAAAGCTGCTTCTTCACACAATTTATTCTTCTGAAAACAAACTACTACAAGCATAAAAAGTGAGCTACATATTTAAAACTTCCAGAATTTTTTTTAACTTTTTGTAATTTTTCTAATGAACGAAACATTTAATATTCATGAAACGGTAAATCATCACAGTTTAAAAGTGCACTTTCGTTCATCTAAGTTCACATAATGAAAAAAAGTATAAAATACAGTAACCTCTGTATTCGTAGAATCAAGAAAATAAGATAAAAACGTGACGTAATCTTGTTCCAACTCTGTTAGAGTACTCAAGCGCGCTTTAAATTTATCGATGTTGATATTTCTGGATGAAGTTCCTAGAAAAGAAGTCGATAAGTTTTATTAAAAACATCAGAATCAGTAATATGTAAAGTACACTAAAAGACCTTATGAAGCAGTACAGGTTAAAGAACACATTCTACAGTGTCTGCATTTTAATAAATGATAGAAAATATGAGATGTTAGTGCATGTTCAGTTTCTCCTTACCTTTTTTTGGCTTTATCTTTTCTAACTCTATTTTTCTTTCCTCGCCCACAGATTCTAATATCTTATCACTCACAACTGACTGCTCAGTTTTCTTGCTTTCTTCTTTTAACATATCTTGTGAAGATTCTTCTTGTCGTTTAGCACGATTCTTCTTTTTCATTTTTCGTCCTCCAGCTTAAATCTTTCAAAAAGAAAATAATTAACCAACAAGCAACTAAAGCTTGCAACAAAATCTACTAATTAAACATGTACAAGAAAATGTTTTAAACGACAAACCAATTTACATATTAATGGATCAATTTAATTTCAGTGACAAAGAAGAAAAAAATAGATTTTTTCTACCATTTCATACATATCCGAGTCACATGTAAAAGCAAGAACATACCATCAATACTACTGGCTTCATCATGGCACATTTTTCCATTCATAGTGAATTCCACTTCGTCAGCACTTTTAACAGGGATATACCGCTGCTTTAGAGATACTTCCAACTCTTTTACCATGACAGGGTCTTCATTTTTAAATGTCTCCATATGTTTGGTCTCTGTCGCTACAAAATATACAAAGTTCAAAACAAAAGCAAACAAATCGTAATTTCGGAACTTTCGATGTATTACATCACTCTGAAATACTATCGCTAAATTACGGGATGTTATTTATAAAATTTCTTTAATAAATCTCATACGTTCTTGACAAAAAATATCCACTATCGAATATCGAATTACACCAACCATTCGATATTTGTTTTCCTTTCAATTTCTTGTGGTTAGGCTTCCCATCCATATCAGTGCCACTTGTACAATCCTTTTTCTCGGATACGTAATGATCATTACCGAACGAAGGATTCTTATTTCCTACTTTCTAAAAGCATATTTAATGTTTTCAGTGTAACTTGTCAAATATAGAATTCTCCTTCAAGAAAAGAATATAATTTTGTACTGCTTTCAGATAATTTTCTACTATAGAAACAAATATTTGGGAACTAAGAAAAATGATGCAAAAAATCAACAGTTTAATAATATATTTATGGAATTACAATTTAAAGTACATAGTAGCATCATCTAAATAATACATTCATACGAGAAAAGCCATGTATTCTGCTGCAAACATCACTCTAAATTCTCATGATTTAAGATCTCAATTTCACATTTACAAATACATAAATAAAATACTATAAATATTAATAAAAAAAATACATAAATATTCAAAAAATCTCACAAAAATAACATTTTGAACACAATAAAAGAAATTACTCACCTCAGTACGATTTCCCTTTACTTCTACAAGTAAATCCCTTTTTTTCTCAACTTCAACACGGTTTTCTTTCCCTTTTACATGGACAGCTTTCTTCTTTTCAACTTCAATACGGTTCCCTTTTCCTTCCACAGGCACATCTTCCTTCTCAACTTCACTACGGTTTTCTTTCCCTTTTACATGGACACCTTTCTTTTTTTCAACTTCAATACTGTTTCCCTTTCCTTCTACAAGTACGTCTTCCTTCCTTTCAACTTCACCACATTCTTTCCCTTTTAAATGGACACCTTTTTTTCTTTCAACTTCAATACGGTTTCCCTTTCCTTCCACAAGTACATCTACTTTCTCAATTTCAACACGGTTCTCCTTTCCTTCTACATGTACGTCTTTCTTTTTCTGAACTCCAACGCAAGTTTCCTTCACTTCTTCCTGTAGATCTTTCTTCTCCTCAACTTCGACGCAGTTTTCCTTCCCTTCCACATGTAAATCTTTCCTCCTTTCGACCTCAACATTATCCTCCTTTCCTTCTATATGTAAAACTTTTTTCTTCTCCATTTCAACACGGTTCTCCTTCTTTTCCACATGTAAATCTTTTTTCTTTTCAGTACTCTTTACTTTATTTCTGTTTTTATGCTTTGGTTTGGTAGTACGATCTTCGGCAAATAAACGAAGAGCACTTTCGCCATAAGCCTTAAAAATATAAATAAATTGGTGAAAATAAAAACCATGCACACAAACTGAAATATTTAAAATTCTACTTCATTATTTCCTTAATAAACAATCTTCTAATTTCCTCCCCATTTAACAACTGTCAATATTTATATACCGAAAACAGTGAGAAAACCTTGAAGAGCAACAAAGTAAGACCTTTTCAAAATCAGTCTCTCTCAAATACATCTTGAAAACGATTATCGAAATTATAATGATCAAAACAGTAATCACTGCCACCAATCCAGATGATGTTGGATCCATATTCTGAAGCAATGCTTTATTTGCACTTGGTAATAGATGAATCTAAAAGTTTGATCGACATTTCTTAAGTATCAGTCACAACGATTTCAACAAGAGAAACAAAACAGAAGGATGCTTTAAAAAGTCAAAACCATGTTGAGTTTTAATTTTGAGCAGAACGAAAAAATATTAAAGGAATGTTGCTTCATTTTTATGCTAATTACAGTTATATAGGATGAGATTTAGTTCGCTGGACTATACCTTATTTATACAACACTTCATTAAAACACTGCGCGCAATTTTTTGGGGTACAAAGTTTTTTGAAATGTGAAACAGCTTATGGCGCACTAATATATATATATATATATAT